CACGGCGGGACGGCCCGGCCCGCCGCAGCCGGGGCTCCCCGGCACCCCTGCAGCAACCCGCCCCGGCTCAGAGGCAGTGGCGTTAGGAAAGGAAGGAACACTTGCATGAAAACTGGAAAGGCAGACTCGACGCTGCACTGATCGCCTATCTTCAAACCACCTTGCGGTTTTGCGGGGGATATCTCGTGTTGGTTTCTTTTTCCTTTAAAAAGTCACTTAAGGAGGTTGTGGCAAGGGTATTCAAACAACCCGTATTCAGAGGCAAATTCAAAGATTCAGTATTTCATCCAAGCTTGAGAGATTTTTTTTTTCCGTGCTCGAACGAAAGAATTTTATGATTTTTGTTTTAATGACAAAGGAAAACCGTCAGCAGGAATTTTCCATTAACGCACAAATGAATTTAGAACGGTCGAAAAACATGTTTCAATGAGACTTCCACAATGAAAAGAAAGTGCAGATGGTGCGGGGACTTAAGGACTCGTTTCTATGGTGTCTGGCAATTTTTCAAGCACCCAGGGTGCGATTCTACCTGTTAATTAGATCCACTGAGTATTCAAGACACATGAGGCTTTCACATCCATGCTTAATGCCATAGGCTCATCGTTTGCAGAAGTAGCAAAGGTCCTAGTGCCACCCTTCAAAACAATAACAAACTAAGTGCAAATGGATACTAAAATCAGCAATATATACCTTTAACTTTTCTCAGGAGTGTGCAACATCAAAGGTAGGCCTGGATAGACAGAGAGGCTTCGCCTGGCGAGCAAGCTTACTTGTGTTTGTTTGAGAAAGAGGGGGAGGAGAAAGAGGAGCTATGGCAAAAATGCTCTCTCCAAGGTAAATATCTTTTAGACAGAGACCTACATGAAACATAATGAGTATTTACTAATGGAGAGACGCTCTGTAACTGAGATAACCCAAATATCCCTCCTTTTAAAGCAAATAAAATACAACATTCATTAAACTAGGGTTTCCATTGCCTGTTTACAAGTGCCATCTTTCTGATAATGGTTCAGAAATGTAAAAGGCTATTTCAAATAACAATTAACTGCCAGTTAAAGGGTTCTTTTCCTCTTCTCTCTTCTTTGAGCATTTTTGCATCTTTACACAGTCTGTAACTCCTCAGGATCAATTGGAGTTTTGCTTGAGTAAAGACTGCAGAATTTGACTCAGAGAATCAAAAATCCGCCTTCATTCACCCGAGCAACATCAGTAAAGTCATTTGAATCAATCCAGATTTAAAGTGGTGCAACTACAAAGATTTGCAAGACAATGGCAGACACATTCCCAGGAAAACTCAGTAGTAGAAACACACAACCTGGCACATGTGAATCAAAATTTCCTCCTCTTCACAAACATTTACATTTACAACAGTAAATGAAGACTAGTTCCAGTTATTAACCTGGGTGTATTTTAACGCAGCAATTTTCACAGATTAGTGGTTAGTTATTACTATTGTGGAAGCCTCTGAGACAACTCCAACACCAGGCAAATGACTATGTAAATCACAGATTTAATTAAGGAACTAGCTACGACATACATGCCAGTAATTGCAAATAGTAAAATATGGATAGTGGCTGTGATTTATATTTAGATTGTAGATAAAAATGGCAGAGAATAGAGTGCTGGGTGGGTAGATGTAGTGGTTGGAATAACAGGGTATTGAGGAGGTGAAAACACAAGTTAGTTCCTGAATGCTGCAAAGAGGTTTTGACATCTAGACGTTCAACTTGAAATGAACAGGATGACTGTAGGGTAAAGCAGCACCCAAAATAGGGTGCAAGCCTTGATGTCCGTACCCTTTCCAAGAAACTGCGTGAGAAAAAGTCAGACAAGTGAGTACGCAGGCCTAAAGGCCTACAGCACCAATAGAATATGAGCTACTATAAAAGTCTCTGCTGATTTACATGTCTCGTGCTACAGCCACAACTGGTCCCTTCACACTGTGGTGGATGACAGCCAAGTAACTTTTTTGGGGTTGTTTTTATTTTTTACAAACCTCACTGAATATCTTTGTGGCGTCAATGGTTTCCTTTGCATTCAGAGCAAGTCTGAATTTATGCAGAAAAACAAAGTTCGGATGTGCTCTACATAAAAAATAATAGACTCTAGAGTAGCATCACCAGATTCAAGATGATCTGTGAGAAACTCAGTCTTGAGATCAAGAAAAAGGGAGCTTCTCAAGAGCTTCATTCCCTGGAAGGGAAGGAAATAATGATTACATGGAAAAGATAGCATGAATGAAAAACTGACTCCAAGATGCTGAGAGGAAGGAAATTGCGAAGAAGGTTAAGGTGTGCTTTGTGAGCTTAATTTGTTATTGACAAGGAGTTGCTGAGTGTACGGCACTGGGTTTGCTTGACATTAAGATTCAGTCTAGCAACCAATTGTAGAGATTGGGTTGACATAATTCAAAAGTTTCACTAAGGTATAGCATATAGAAGAAATGACCCTCCTGGGGTATCAAGAAAACCTTTCTACACACAATGCATTAATTTCAAGCTGGGCTGGAACCCTTTATTTTGATTCTGCCCCTGTTTTAAAATGCTTACTGCCAATCAAGAATTAGCAACCCTGAGCTCTGAACTCTCTCATATATTTTCTTCAACTGAATCTGTCAATGGGTAGCATTTTACTGAGATCCTTTGCTAACTGTAGAACTCAAGGCTGCTGCTGCATAGTTATTCTTGCAGTTATTCTACGTCTTGACCCACTGCTCTTATCATGCATAGCTCCCCGTTACTTCTGACGGATCAGATTTGGTGATTTACACATTTACAAGTAGTAAACGGAGTTTCTCAGGAATTAACACTTGATAGCTTGGGTCTCAATTTATCTCATATTGCCTGACTGAGAATTTTCCATTATATTTTCAGCCCAACACTAAGAAAAATGCTTTATTTAAAAGAGGTGTGTTTACACTGCTGTACTACCAACAAGGTAAAACAAAACCATGTTCGAAATTTCCAGAGAACATTCAGAAACAACACGTCTCCCGAGCACTTACCTCTCAGGTGGTCAATAGAAGTTGGACTAGTATGTTACAAAGGTCAGTGCTCCTGAACACTTTCAACCTCTGTTGACTTCCGTAGAAATGGAGAACCTTCAGTACGTTGCAAGACAACATAATTTTTCAAAAAACATGGATTGGGCCTCAGGTGCTCCCTCATTTGCAATCAGAGAAGCCTTAAACTTGCATCCCTTGAGTAGTGTGTGAAAATAGAAGGGGATTACCTTTTGCTACAAGGCTAGAGACCTCTTCTCCCAGAGGAGGATCTGCCTCTGGAAGATGCTGGTATGAAACCACTATGCAACTGACCACAGGAGACTGGAGGAACAAAGGGAGCACAGTGCGGAGTCCCATGGGTAGGGTTTATTACAGCTATACCTTTTCTCAGGGTTAAGTTCTCAATGAACAATGAACAATTAACCTTGCCATCGATTAAGCATGACACGATGATAGCAGAGAATATTGAGCGGGCTCTAGTAGTACAGAGAAGGCATCTTGTCACATGGACATCCAGGTTTGCAACTAATCTAGGTTACTTCTATTTGAACATACGTACAGCTTTACAGTAAAAAAAGCACCCTTCTCCCCTGGCTGCAGTACACTGGGAGTAGAATTCATGGTCCCCACAAAGACGTTTACGTAACTGTCTTTATCGAGAGAAAATCGGCTGTGATTCAGAGCTTTTGAGACTGTAGGGGTAAGAATAGACAAGCAGATTCCAGAGACAAATCCAAAATAATATAGATGTTTATTGGTTACAACCCTTTCTGATTAGTAATAGCAAAGCTTTCTCCCCAAAAAGTGAATAAAGAGTGACTTTTTTTTTTTTGAGATTGTTGGGGATTCAATGCTATTTTCTTCGCTAAATCACAGTGGATTTTGACTAGTGTGAGCAGAGTTTTCAGGAGCAAGGAACTGAGTTGCTTTTGCATTGTTTAAAAGTATTTTTCCTTGAAAAATACAAGAAAACATGAAAATTCAAGTGTGATGCCCTAATACCACGTATCCACACTATTTAATCGACTGAGCTGTTATTACTCATAATGGCAGTTAATGCCATTTAAAAGCACGTAAAATCTCATTTGAATGCTTTTAAACTGCAGGTTTTAATGTCAGCATTACAGAGGCTCCCACCAGAGGGGTTGTCATTACATGATTACGATGCGGTGTGAACAGAAAGGGTATGAAATGCTGACAGTCCTCCAACCCCACCTCGTCTTAATTTCTACTTAGTCCATGAAAAGAAATTTGGCTAGGGCTAATCAGAATTCATCTCATCTTTACAAATTTTAAAAACCAATCATCGTTCTCAGTGACTGAAATCTTACTAAAAGAAAGAAAAAGAAATTTGTGGTTTGGTGGTTCTTCAACTCTATCATTCAAAATTGATTAAAATGGAATGCATTTAAACTTCAATGGCCAGGATGTTTAAATGTCTTGAAACAATGCAATGAATGCAATATTCTGATATGAAATTCAGAAATGTCATTTAATAATTACATTCTTTTGTAGTATCTTGACAACTGTATTATAAACAGATTTTGCTGTTCTGATGCTTTGGAAACAGCAAACTGGAAACTGGTGCAGTTTTGCTTGGCTTTGAGCTCCTGCAGGAAGATTTATATTGTTTAGCTGAGTGAGTGAGTTAACGAGCACTTCAGACCTCAGGTGTATTGTGTCATTCCCACAATATACGTATGTCTGCCTGTCTACTGTGCAGGCTCCCCAGGTTACTTGGGGTATTTGCCTGGGGTGATGGTGTGATGAAACCCCTTCTTTTGTGTTTTGCACAACCAAGTGAGTGCCTGTAACCGGACTAGTGATATTTATCACACTGGGAGACTGATGATTAACTGGCTAGTGTTTATGAACCTTTCAAAGATTTAGATACCGTTATGATACTGCTGAATAGTCCTTAAAC